TAGGTGGGATTTGAACCTTAGACCTGCCACTTGGAGGATGACAACCCAACCACTACACTAGGATCGCCATTCTCTAACTCTATAACTTTATTTTTTAAATTATATTTAATTATTTTATAAAAAAATTTAGTTTATAACTATTATAATTTTTTTATTTATAAAGTTTTAAAATTTGTATACTTTATTTGCTAATTTAAAGGTTCTTGCATTATGTAAGCTTAAAATTAATATTTAAAGAGTTCACCAAAAATTTATAAATAATTTTTTTAATTAAAAATTTTTTTTAAATTTGTCTTTTTTTAACTTATAAGCAACATATATATTTTTTTTTTATAATATAAAATTAAATACTACTATAATATAATCCTTATTTTTAAATATTATCAAATAAAATTTTAACAATTTTTCAAGCAAATTTGTTTGAAAAAGCTTACAGATTAAGGGATAATAAAAAATGAAATTGTAATATATATGCTTTTTTAAAGTTGTCTCAACTTAAGAGATACAGTACATGTCATGGCTAAGATGATTTCGGATTCAGTCAAATTTTTAGTAAATGGTTTAAATTTTTTTTACAAACAGAACAAATGATTAAACAGTTTTTTATCATTCCAACAAGAAACATGAGTTATAAATGTATCTATTAATTATAGCCATACAGCGGCTTTGGATTTTTCTTCCTTTTGGGTATGCGTAGACGTCACGTGAGGTTGAGTTGATGTTATACTTTGTTGTGTTGTACTAGATCCTTGTTCTTCTATCACTATCAAATAATTTAAAATAAATTCAGCAATGTTTGTTACGATTAATATTTTACTGTGCAGAACAAAAATATTCTCCGGTAATTTTTTGTTAAATAAAAAATCTATTATTAAATAAAGATTTATGATACAAACTTAATTTAAGTATTTTTATAATAGTGACAAAAAATTTGACTTAATGATAGAAATTAAGTTTTAAAGTTTAATATCTAGGTTAAATTTTAAAAGTTAAACTTCAAACATTTAATTTTTTAACAACTGTTTTAAATCACTATTATAAAATTTCCAAATAGTTTTTATTTTATTTAATCTTTACTATTTTTAGTTAAAATTAGTTCTCAACTTTAGCTCTCATCTAAATTCTGATATAATTAATTAAAAGAGTATGAAAATTCGCAGCAGAGCTAAGTCACAGGAGAATATTTTTGACCAGTACTGTATCATTGACAAATCTATCACCTGTATCGCGTTTCAATTTTTCAATCAAATCCTCAAGTTTTGAAATTTTAAAATTTGTTCTTTCCTTGTATTCTCGATACTCATTTTTTGTCCAGAGCAAATGTATAGCTGCAGATCCAAAAACTGCCCATACTGCATATTGATAAAGAAATGGTTTGTATTTGCTCATGGCCATGCTTATATTCTTATATCCCTTTGGTTTTACGAGAAGTCAAGAAAAAAAAATTTTTTTGCCCCGAAATGGTAGACACAACATATATATATATATATTTGTCCATATTGTTACACGATCAAATCGGGCTACTTTTACAGATGACTGTATGTATATACGTAAGTACAATTTTAAACGTTAAGCGACATTTTATCTTTCCAAATTTAAAATGGAAGACGACCTCATAGAAGCCTTTACAGAGATTGTAATAGGCAACAAATCCACCTCTTTACTGGGGCCCGTCTTCGAAAAGCTTCAGAATGGCGAGCAAGAACCAGGGGCTCTTGCTCAGTGTGTTCTTGATGCTATATGGTACATCGACAGTATCATTATTGACGGTGCGACTGAAAACGATTGTCGCCGAAATCTTATTAATATTGTCAAATATCTTCACGTAAGCATTCACCGATTGTTGATTTTTGAAGGAAAATCAATTTTATAATTTAGTTTTTTTGTAATTTTGTACAAAGATACAAGCTTATAATGAGAACTATATATAACGATTTTGGGTGTTTCAATTACAAGACATCATAAACTTGAAATGCGTTTTGTCATGTAACGTCTCGACAAACATTACGTTTATATATTATCTTTACGAATTTTGGTAGTTTATACCAATAACTTTCTTTGCTTTTAAAAGGCAAATAATATCGTCGACACCAAAAGCATGAAGACGAAATTAGATATTCCCCTCTTAGAAAGTGCCGGTGTAATAGAAGAGAAAACTTTTGGCCGACGCTGTGTGAGAATTAACACAGCAATGTTGTATAAACAACAGAAGTATAATCTCGCTCGTGAAGAATCCGAAGGATACGCAAAATTAATATGCGAATTAGCTATGTGCTGTGACTCCATATATAAGGATGATAATGTATCTCTAAATGCACGCACACAAAGCATTTTAGAGGCCATTCAAACACTGATAGGTAAATCCATAATATTTTTACCTTTTATACTCTATACTTAATATTCGATTGATATTCTCTGATGTAAATAAATATGTATTAATAGGGTTCTTCAATCTGGATCCAAATCGTGTCTTGGACCTAATTCTTGATATATTTATCGTAAATGTAAAGGTTCACTACGAATTTTTTGTACAGCTTTTGAAGAATTCTCCATGGTTGCCTGATCCTATGGATATAATTGAGAACCATGATGAATGGTCAAATGATAAAGGAAATCCAATATGCGCTCAATTACTTGGCATAAAGTACACTCGTTATGAGGGCTCCGATATGATTCCAAACGCTTTTTCATATTTGTACATTGCTTCTGCTATATTAATACATAATCAAGTTGTGAAAATTGCTGATTTATATCCATATATCCTGAGGGAATCTGAGGATAACCCTCATCAGCATGAGATTGGCCTTGTATGTGCTCTTATTGAAATTGGCGATTTTTATCATGTACGTTATGTATTATACCATCTTCCCGAGATCGAAGAATCCGTAGCCAGTTGCTTACGTCAGATGATCGATGTAGCAATTTACGACATTTATGCACCAATTGCTCCTCGTTTAGTAAAACGTCTCCAGCCTCCGTCTTTTTCCGGTTCTTGGTACAAACGTTGGCGAGAAGGAATACCAGTCATTCATTCTTTCTCAGATTTAATTGAGGGACAAGGACGACTATTGTTACTTTTTATTGGACCATGGCTCGCTAGAGACCTTATATTATTTACAAAAATTATGCGAATCGCATATCACCATCTAGAGAAATCGAAAAATTCTTCGGATTATGCAACAATCCAAAATAAATGGTTAGATATTGTTCGATCCACGATTATGCCCAGTATAGCCATGCCTGATACTACTTGTGGCGTTATAGATGAGCTATGGAACATTATCAAATCGTTTCCATATAAAATAAGATTTAATATTTATGCTGAATGGAAATTGGCTTATGAAGTCCACAAACCATTAAAAGATCAATATAAAAAGGTTAGTCATGAGACAAAAAAAATCTTGAAAAGAATTACTGAAGAAAATTGTCGTGAAAAAGGTCGTGAGCTTGCAAAAATATCTCATGCAAATCCGACAATTGTATTCGAAATTATTCTAAAACAAATTCAAGCGTACGGTAATATGATTAATTCTCTTGTTGAAGCCTGTAAATATTTTACTTCATTTGAGTATGACATCTTAACGTATCAGATGCTGGAAGTCTTTTCTAGTGATAGAGAAAGACTCAAAGATGATGGTATTAATATCAGTGATTGGCTTAAACATTTATCTGAATTTTGTGGAAATATGTGCAGAAAATATGAAAAAATGAACCTTTCAAGCATTCTTTGGTTCATCATTTGCAGACTTAAAGACCACAATTCTGTGGACTTATGCATTCTTTCTCAACTTATTACTGCAATGTCAGGGATTAAATATGAAATTGTCCCATCAAAATATGACGTGGCTCTTATGGGCAGTGGCGAGCATTTGCGGAACATTAAATTGTTTAATCGAAATCAGAAAAATGTTCGTCGTAATTCTTCAAGGTTGAGTCAAACACTCGTTGAGGAGGGATATGCCGTAAAAATTGCTGTTTTAATTGCTCAGTTGGCGCAAAGCATTCCATATGAGGCGCTTGGCGAAAGTTCTAAACATCTTAAATCTGTTGTCCATCGTATGGATCTCTGTCGTAACACTTACATCCAATATGTTGACTTTTTGGCAATAACTATTGGCATGGATGAATATACTAAAATTATGCCAGAGATTGAAAAATTGGTTAAAACGTATCATTTACAAATGGAATATGCGTTTATGTTGTTACGACCATTATTAAATTATAAGCTGAAGCAATATGCCGATGAATCATCATCAATGGATGTTGATAATGAAAAATTAATATGGCAACCTCCGTTATCCAATATAATTGAACAAGTTAGAACCACTTTACCTTCATATGTATGGAACGGAATTAGTCCACAATTTTTTATTACTTTCTGGCAAATGTCTTTGTATGATTTGGAGTTTCCTCAAGAAGAATATCGAAAGGCTAAAAATGAATTATTAGACTCTGCTAATGGTGACAAAGTCAGAGATAAATCAAAGATTATCGATGCTGCTCGACAAATTGATAAAGACATGCGGAAGCATGAACAACACATTAAAAATGTTAAAACCCGATTAAGAATCGAGAAAGATCATTGGTTCTCCGGACAATTTACTAACCGCCAAGACATTATTACACAATTTTGGCAATACTGCCTTTTTCCACGGTTGATCACTAGCGCTGATAATGCTGTATTTTGTGCAAAATTTATTGAAACAATGCATGAAATAGGAACTGTTAATTTTTCAACGCTTACACTATATGATCGGATTTTTGCTGATCAAGTACAACCGTTGGTATTTACGTGTTCTGAATCTGAGGCTCGAAACTATGGTACTTTTCTTCAAACTATTTTAGCGTCTCTTAGTAAATTACATAAAAATCCACAGGAATATGAAAATCGAGGAAAAGGATCTGGTATTCCTGGATTTCAAATGAAGTGGTCAGCACATAATCGCCAACCAGCCAGCATTTCCGAAAATGATTTACTACGATATGAAGAGTTTAGGCTTGTCTATTATAAATGGCATTCGAGGCTTCTTAGAGCTTTTGAGCAAAACCTTCAATCTATGGAATATTTTTCAGTACGTAATTCGATTATAACTCTTAATACAATAGTGTCATATTTCCCGGCTATCGATACATTTGGTAAGAAACTTCAGGATGATATTGATAAAATCGTAAAGAGTGGAGACCGGAGCGACATTCGAACTTTGGCCCTAAGCTATTCAGCTATATTAAAAGGAAAACAACAATTATGGGTCTCTGTTCGATCTTTCCAGAAAGCAAAGAATTCCCCTGCCATGGACTCAGCACAACATGATGAAAGGTCAGAAAAAGGATCATTGAAACATGATGAAACCCTTGAAAAAGGACTACAAAAACGTGATGAAAGGTCAGAAAAAGGGTCTGCATCTCCTGCACAAAGGGCTACTCAATCTCCAGTAGTCGCACGTTCTGGTCCTTTATCAAACGTACGAGGTGCACATCCATCCTCTCCTTCATATTTAACTACTCGAGCCAGTCCACGAATGCAAATACATCCATTGCCTGATAAACCTATTAAACCGGAACGCGGACAAATTCGTGAAAAAGAGCATGAGAGAGAAAAGGAACATGAGAGAGATCGTACCAAAGACAGAAAAGACATGCAGATTGAGCGTGATAAGGAGATCAAGAAAGGTGATCATCATGATAGAGATAAAGAGATTTCCAAAAAATTGGATCACTATGATCGTGATAAAGAGCGAGAACAGGAAAGGGATCGCAAACAAGAAATTTCACGCAGTGGTGATGATAAAAAAGATCTATTGGTCCGTAATAAAGAAAGATTAATGAATGATGATCCAAATAAAAGAACTGATCATCGTCTTCGTGATCGTGACGATAAAATTAAGGAAAAAGAGCGCGACAAACGTGACGACAGACGAGAAGAACGTCGTGATAAAGCGAAAGAGAAAGAACGTGACAAATCCAGAGAACGTGAACGGCTGGATGAAGATAGGGATAGGCGTGAAAGTGATCGTGGCAAAAGAAAACACGCAGAGGAACCTACAATTAGACGTTCACGTGACAATATGATGGCCCAAAGATTCGTAAGTAAGAAAAGAGATCGAACTGAACGAGATCGAGACGGTGAACTTGAACAAATTCCTTCAAACAAGAGGAGGAGCATCGAAGGTATCTCTCCAGTTCTTCGTCCACCCGTTAAACTTCCTCGTGCTATGGAACATAACGACTTCATTGCTCCAATGCCAGGTAAATCAATTGGTGGAAAGAGAAATGATAAACGAGACACTCGAAGAAGATAGTGATTATAATCGACTAAAATTTATAAGCCTAGCCGAGACGATAACTTTATACATCCAAGCTGGCTTAGTTGGCTATTGTCTCAAAAATTAAATCTG